CACAGAGCCCAGTCCAGAGCCCGCTCCAGTCCGGGAGCCCACAGAGCCCAGTCCAGAGCCTGCTCCAGTCCCGGAGCTCACAGAGCCCACTCCAGAGTCCGCTTTGTTCTGGGAGCCCACAGAGTCCGCTCCGTTCCGGGATTCCACAGAGTCCGCCGAGACTAAACTCCCTCTGCTCTTCTTTTCAGGTACTCCTGAGTTGCTGAGAGGGATTTCGGTCCCACCAATGTGGCCTGACAGGATTCTGGCTCCATCCTGGTTGCCCGCCTGGGTTGTGGTATGGCAGGAGCCTCACTGGCTCACTCCTCTGGCTCCATCCTGGCCATCTGCTGGGAGTCCTGTGTGGTTGGGGTCTTGCTGGTCCATCCTGCCGGTCCCGCCTTGGCCTTTCACCCTGCCGGTTCTGTGCTCATGCCTTAGTCTATCTCTGTTCCCTGGTCCTCTTCCATTGTTTGGTCCTGGCCCGCGATCCCTCCCCCTGGTCCGCCTCTATTCCACCTCCCTCCTGAACTTTTGTGTTCTGATGGAGCGTCTGGTATCCGCTCCGTAGAGGGGGGGGTAATGTCACAGTGTTTGGTTGTGCTGCCCTGGACTGGCCACTTGAGGGCGCTCTTCCTGTTTCTATGTTGTATGTGTTAAACTCCATTTCCCATAGTCCCCTGCTCGTTAATTCTGTTCTGATCAGTAGCACCTGTTTATCATTTACTCATTATCCCAGCTATATATACCATGCTCACTCTGTTTGTCATTTGCGTCTTGATTATATTGTCTTCTGAGTTCTTGTTGTCTAGTTGCTTCGTGTTCTCTGGTCCCTATGTTTTGGATTACCTTTTGCCACGTTTTTGTTCTGTTTAGTTATCTGTTAATAAAACTGCACTTGGATCTTACCTCGTCTCTCCTGGCATTCCGTGACAGAGTCTTGTAAAGTGAATTCATCTTATTTTTGTTTTTTCTTTAAAAAGCTTTGAAAGTACTGCTGGCAAGTGCCCACCTTCACTCAAAAGGTCAGCTTTTTCACAAACATGTATCCAAACCGTCATCTCTCATCTTGGTTTGTGTAATTTACCTGAGTTTGCTCTTTCAGTATAGGTCTGACTATAGAGGTTTCAGTCTGATTATACAATTATCAGGGGTACTCTGGTGAATACTAGTGGATAAGTAGTGTCAAATAAGCTCTATATTTTTTGCTCGAGTTGTCTACATTTTACAAATATTTAAATGACTATATTTAATGCACAGTGTTGCTAGAGTACATGGGAAGCTTTTCTAGAGAACCCCTGGTGTAAACAGAGACTGAAATGCTTTTCACTGGGATAAACAACGAACACCAAGTGGTTCTTGCATGGCAGAACATAGTGTCAGGAAAATATACATACTGTGTACAAATAATTACCAGAGCAGTTAGCTGAGAATGCAAGCCAAATGCTAAGTTTATACCTCAAATGCCAAAAACACTCCAGATACCATCACATTGTGCATACAGATCACGTCCTGACACAAAGAATAATGAATTATGACACAGTTTCATATTAGAATTGAAATAACATGCTGATCATAATAATCTGCAGCGCAATTGCAGTGCTGGTTAAAATGGGCAAAGTGGAGTGATTTTTTTTTTATTACAAGGCGAATATCAGACCCAAAGAAAAAAATCGAATCAGTTTTTAATCAGTATTTTATCTTGTTTTCCAGAAAAAAATAAGCATCCTTAAAACCTTAAAAAATGTATTAAATATTAAATACAAGCTTTTGTCTAATATTTTGTAATATTTATATTTACCGGTACATTAATTCTGCATAGTATTTTAGTAGTAGTAGTAGTAGTAGTAGTAGTAGTAGTATACTTGTCCTCAAGAGGAAAATTGTAATGGACTACATGTTGCTGCAGACATAAAATAAACAAATAATATCAATAAGAACAATGATTTAAAAAAAAAATTAAATGAACTCAAAATAAAATCAAGATGAACTCGTGTTATACAACGGCACCGATACAGGTACAAAGGAATTCTTATATCGATTTAACTTACACATTGGGATTCTATATCTTCTACCAGAGGGAAGTAGTTCATATTGTAAAGAAATTAGTTTGGTCACCAATAATCCTCTCTACCTAATTAAGAACACATTCCTCATATAAATCTTGAAGGTTAAAATGTTCATCATGCCCAACAATTCTCCATGCTGTCAATAACAGGTGCATTAACTTTGATTTAAACTGTACTGATAGGTTACCAAACCACACTGTGATACCATACCTAACAATACTTTCTAAAACAGCTTTATAAAACAGCAGCATAAGATTCTTGTTTACTCCATAGAGACATAACCTACGTAAGAAATACAATCTCTGTTGTAGTCGAGTGCAAACCCATTCAATGTGTGTTTTCCATGTAAGTGAACTATGTAAACGCCCAAATACTTATAGGTCTGTGACTGAATAATATTATGATCATGTATAACCACTTGACGATGGTCACCTATACATTTAGGATCAAATACAATCTTATTCGTTTTTTTTGTATTTATTATTAGCTCATTTTTATCACACCAGTCAACAAACTGACTTATTTCTGATTGGTAAATAGTGCTAATATTGTAATGCACATAGAGTAGACTTAGTATGGCTGTGTCATCTAAATATTTAAAAATACAATTTTGTGAATGTCTACTTAAGCATTCATTTGTAAAAAGTGTAAAAAGAATGGGTGAACTGACGCAGCCTTGTGGAACACCTGTACTACTGCTCTTTTGATATGAAAGAAGATTGTTTACCTTGACACATTGAGTTCTATCTATTAAAAAAGAATGGTACTACTTAATAATACATGGGTTTACACTCAGCTGCTTCATC